AAAACATTATTTAAATATTACTTTGGATTTGCGTCCATCGCTTTGCGATGCTTTACTTATATCCTGTAAGAAACCTCACCAGCCTGTTAGCGTGCAGACAGTCAGTCGTTGGATTAGACAAGGTCTGGAGTTCTGTGGCGTACAAACAGCTCTTTTTTCAGCCCATAGTACTCGCCATGCTTCCACTTCTCTTGCGGCTAAGAATGGCGTGTCTCTTGATTTAATTAAACGCTCTGCGGGCTGGTCGGGTGACTCCCAGGTTTTCGTTAATTTCTATCAACGACCGATTCTTAACTCGACAGATTTTTGCACTTCCGTTCTCTTATCTTAAGTGTTATTTAACGTATTATTGTGCTTTCTTCTTTATTTTATAAAGTTGATTATATGGCAAATCGTGCCCTTTCTCCATTCTTTGAACATCTACATAGTTTATCCATCCGGATGAGACACTTTGGCATAATTGTAAGATTAAACGAACTTACCAAGTGAAGTTCGATCTTAATTATGCCTGGTGTCTCGTCCGGATGGACTTTCCTCACCCTCAAGACTTGCACGTCTTGTTTTACCCTCCCCAACTTTGGTCAACGATTTGCCTTCTTTAGATTTAAACTTAATGAGGGGAATGGGCGCGGGGCACCGCGGGATGCGGGACGACACCAAATAAATGCTGCCGCTGGCTGTGCGGCAATTTTTATTTTTTATATATATTGTGAACGCTGTTGATAACGCAATGCAGGGGCATGACTACATAGTTTATCCATCCGGACGAGATACCAGGCATAATTAAGATCGAACTTCACTTGGCAAGTTCGTTTAATCTTACAATTTTCGTATGCGCATCTCATTCGCACGCCGTCAGGAATCGAGCCCCTGGGCTCGTGCGTGCGCGAGCTCAGTCGAGCGTGCTCGACCGTCTCTAGCCTTTACCCGCCGCCCCGAGCCTGGGGTTCGTCCGCCGGCGAACTCCGCTGAGCGTGCTCAGCCTCTGGGCGATCCGTCTAGCGACCAAGGACCCGGGACGGTGCGTCCGCCGTCTTCGCTGAGTGTCTGCAGCATTTGGTCGCTCTCCGTCACGAACGTAGGGAAGAAGAAAGGTGCGTGCGCCTTCTCCGTCGAGAGTCCTCGGCCCCGACGGACGAAAGCCTTTCGCATCTTTCGCGACTCGCGTGCGAGTGTTCGACCGAGAGTCGAAATCTCCGATCCGGCGACCATCTTTGCGCGAGCGATTGCGAGGCCGAGTATTGGGCAATAATTGTTCGAGACGCCCAGCGTCGCGAGGCGAGACATATCACCGTGCCGTTACCGTCTTTACCATCTACACGCGTCGCGCAATAGGCCCCGCCTACCGCGAGGCCTATCTGTCCGTAAACCCGCGTGTACCGCGCACCGCACCGCATCGTACCGTACCGACGCGCCTAGTAAACGCAACCCGCGACAACGCCTTCGGGGCCGAGCTCTTGTACTTTTCTGACTCTCAAATAAATCTAACATATTTATATTACTATCAAACGTCTCGCTGCTTTCTTCCTCACCGAACCCGGACTCCGACGAGCCTTGTCCGAGCAAAACGCGTAGCAACGACCGAACCGCGGAGTTCCGCCGTTACAACTATTCGATACATAAAAAAATTGCCAACGATCCCGGCTTTAAAACTTGCATTATTTTTACTTAACAAATATTTTTAAATTGCAAATAGTCATGAGATTTTGTGCAAATAAATGTGAAGTCGATTGTAATAGAGACATTGTTTAACATATAAAATTTACAAACTGATAACTGCGCAAAAAGTTCTTACTCTTACACATTTTTGGGTTAAAAATGATCAATATATTGTATATTGTTTGCGCCTTTGTATATTGGAGCGAAAATGCGCGGATGTCGGGACGCCCTTATCAGAAGGATCGAAATCAGGGATGATGGTAGACTCAGGTCTCGTACGGCCTCTTCGGGTCGTAAATCCGAGCTGAGAAACGAGAACGAAAAATACTCGTGACAAATACGTCCACGAGCGCAAAAGCGAAACGACCTTCGTTGGAAGGCCTACCCTTTCGGACTCAACGGCAAGCAATCTGCCACGGTCCTGAGAGCCGTGGAGATGCACAAGAAAGCGCTGAGCTCTTGTCACGCGGGAGGCGAACTGAGTTGCTCCTGGGCGACTAGCCAGTCTTGCGGACGCTTGGACCGAGAGCTCAGAGCTTTCGAAGAAGCGATCACTTCGAAGAAATCGCTCTTGAAATCACCAAGATCCGCGACGGATACTTGGTAAGAGAGAGTTCGCAAACTCCTAAGGAGACGGCCACGCCGTTCCTAATAGCTGCCGAGTTCCTCGACGGACACGCGGAAAGAGAGTTCACCACTTCCACACGGAGGCGATCTAACTCGCTCCTGACTCGTGGCAACGCAGCGAACTCAAAGCTTCGTTATTCGTTATTCGTTATATGGCGCCGGACTAAATACAGCAATGTCCATACGCCATTTCCCAGTAGTATGATGTAAAGAGAAAAACAGGGACAGCGCGTACGCAGTACCCACGATCAAAAAAATATGCGTAGTTACAAGAACCACATCCAACCACCACGGAGGCGAACAAAAGACTGCGAACTCAAAACGAAATCGGCGATTCTCACCATAAAGCCTCAATCCAGCAGAGTGTATTAGCACCGCCGTCAACTCAGCAGAGTGTATAGTGCGTTGATTCGAATCTCTACTACGCGCGAAACACTGCACCAAGAAAGCCTAGAGCAGGTCGGTAAAGAAGGGCGCTATAAGTCACACAGACCAGCTACCAGAGATTGCCACAATCGGCGTCGAAGAGCTGACCGTTTGGCGGATTCTTGTCCGCGGGTTGCAGAGTCGTGGTGTACGCCTCGTAGCGGCCTCGGCTGGAGCTACTCGCCAGGCGGGGGAGATCGACGGGACGGCCGCGCGCTCGTCTACGAGAGACCGGAGCGCTGCGCCGACTACGAGAAAGCCGGCGCCGGGAATCCTTGCCGCCCGCCATGCAGAACCGGCGGGCTCCGCTCGCTTCTCTTATGGCACACGCATTCCGGAACATATATCTTATATGGCATTTTATGAATAACATAAAATCTTTATTTTGGTTCTGTGTGAATGTGTATGTGTACAGCTTTATTTTTACATAAAAACATGTAATATTCAATCGATCATACTATATTCTTAATATATGCAATTGTACAGTTTTTATTTATATATATATATATATGCGCGCATGTGTGTGTATGTGTGTTGTATGTATAATATATATTTAACATAATTAATGTATATTATATATATGTAATAATGCATTGGAATACAATTGTATATCACTAATCACATCTCAAATATATACACTCTTTTAGGTCAGGTATCTCTCTCAGTCTCTGTATAAAAAATTTGAATATATCTTGATACACACTTATACCTTGTGAAAACTTCTAACTGTATTGAAACAAAGACGAATATTACCAAACATCTTAAACTTTTGTTCAAGTTGAATTAAATAATATCCTGCATCCTTGACCATACATTACGCTTTGTGATTTGCTCTCGATTCTATCAATGTAATATGTCAAGTACAATTTAGAAAAATAACTTTTTGCAACAACTTACTGCATCTTACTTTAGTGCCAAAAACATACGCAATATAAATGTTATTATAAATTTACAGAGAATAACGCTAAATTTATTACAACATTATAGCATATAGCTATAATATGCGCTTTATACAATATTTTATCGCAATTCCAGAATAAACGCTTAAAGTCACATTAATCTTGGCTCGATTTCCATAAATTCTAGAGAAAATCTTAAACTGATGCCTTAGACTTCATGTTTTTAAATCTTTTGTTGGTGATAAACAGCTTTTCTGAAATTTATACATTCAATATTATAGAACACTCTATATTAAACTGCATTGCAAGAATCAGGTTATCTATATTGCAATTTATCCCTATTTATTTCGACGTCAAGCAATTTTGTGGTAATGAAAAATGCAATATACTTCAAATTGTGATGTGAGAACGACAGAGAGACAAGTTCTATTGTTTCAAACTATCTCATCTTGCATTCCTTTAAATTTCGTGATATAGACATTATACGAAGAGAGAAATTTATACGATCACTTCTGGATTATACTTATGCTATTGTTATTCTCTGTATAGGGGTTGGATTGCAATAGAAGAAACCTTTACATTATTTCAAGATGAACAACTATAAAAACGTTTAAAAATAAATATAAATATTTATAGTGCGTAGCATGCAAAAAATGTGTTCTTCACTTCTAAATTAAACTGCACATTATAAAAACAAGCATTTTGCTACATATCATAGTTTTTAACTATCAACTAATGAATTAATGAGAGAATACTTCAATCCTCCAATTAGTCTGTGCTATGTATATGTATACGTTATAATAAAATATTTTCTCGTGTAATATATATATATATATTTTTTTTTAAGTTCAATGCACGTATTTCAGAGGTAAAAGGAGGTTTGATCGTTATTCCTTCATTGAGAACGATGATGTGCAGCACATTTTCATACACGGCAATTGACAAAGAAAAGTGAGTTCATGTTTAATACAAATGTGTGATACTTTGACTTCGCGATATATACACAAGATAAATATATAAAATTCTCTTTCCAATATACGCGCGCGCGCGCGCTGTTAGCAATGACGCAGCCCCGCCGTTGTTCAAACATTTGTTTGCTACATTTGACCACTTATTAACCAGGTACATTAGGAAAATACAAAACTAGAGAAGCATACATCATGAAGTCAAAATATATTATATAAATATATGAGAGTTTCTTTATGTAAATAAGTTATAGGATTTTATGTATGTAATTTCCTTATCTTTCGCATTAACAATATCATTTTTCTTGTTTTGTTTTACTAAAAATATTTATGTCTTAATTTCATGAACTCTTTAGTATTTGGCAATAACGCATGTATCTCTCTTTTTCTCTCTCCCTCATTTTCACCCTCTTTCCCCCCCCCCTCTCTCTCTCTTCCCGACTGCTATTTCGAGTGTAAAGCTATTATGTACGTGAGAAGCTTTTACACAATTTTTCGTTGAACGCAATAAGAATGTTAGAAAACAAAAAGAAGAAGGAATGGATAATATACAGAAAATATATTGAGAAAAAGTATACATCGGTTTCTCGTTACGATTACGTGTCTCGTTATATATTCCACTGTCCATTCTGAATGGACGAAGCGCGTGAGTATTCCGAGTTTTTATATGATACAAGCATCTAAAATATTTATGCGTATGTACACAGCTGCTATATCCATTATCGACATTCTTTCACGATGATCGGTAGACGACAAACACCGCAGAGAACGAAAGGAAAAGGTAGTTACATAATAGCGTTCGTTATCGGGTTGTCGCTCTCGCGGTAAATACGAAGATACGATATATCTACTGGCTGGTTATTTTAAACGCTTGTACCTCCGCAATATATAAACACTTAGCAGAAACTACGAAACGTTATCAATCAACAGTGACGTAGGGATATTTCGTATCTGCTATAATTCAATAGTTACTTTTCTTACAATTATATACAAGTGCGGCTAGAGCACATACTTCACAAGTCACAATATTTCAAAATATATAACTTAGGATATGTGTTCTCTCTCGTCATTATTCTTTTTCTATCTCTTTCTTTTTCAAAGACGGACCTTTCTCTCTATAGCGAAAGTTGTATTAAAATAATTTTGTACTTGTTCCCTCTTTTTGTATTTTCGCTGCGGTGCGTATAGAATCGGCTTCTCTTTAAGAAAAGCACAGGATGTGTACGTGTGTGTGTATATGTACACACACACACATACACACACACACATACACACACATATATATATATATATATATATATATATATATATAAGTGTCGCCTAGAAAATATCTTCTACGTCACTGCCAGAGCGTATCTCCCGAAACGTTTCGTTGTACAAGCGTCAGGATTTTGTATCTGTTGGCCGACTTCTCAGCTAGCCTAGGCTGGGCTAGCGGCTAGAGTTTCAAGCAAGCAAGGCACAGGAGCACAAAGGGCTCAACGTGCTAGGAGGAGGCACTACTCAACAGTTCCATGCTCTTAATGCCTCGTCAACAGCAGCACCAACAAGTTAACACTGGAAACGAAAATGTCTAGAATGTGTGGCATGAACAATTAGTAGCTATGTATGTGTAAAAGAGCATTGTAAAACTACCGCGTCCAATTGCTTTTTTTTCCTCTTTCGTGTTTTTCTTCTTATCTTTTACGTTTATCATCAATTGCGTTGTACGTACGCGCACGCCGGCACAAAACATGAACTATAGTAGTTCGTATAGTAGCCTTCGCGTCGAGTCAATACCACACACAATTCAACGCACAACCATGCGATCCACGGATTACAACAATGGCAACAGTCTCTGAAGAAGAGAGAGTTGTCGCGCGATCTGTCGTCGTTAAATCTACGAAAATTTCAGGTACTGAAAACAAAGCGTAAGTAATCGTATTATCGAGAATATGCGTCCCCCCTCCCTCCTCAATTTATCTGCGAGCATTTCTTTACCCTCCCTTTCCACCCGTCTTCCAACCGTCGCCGTCGCCGAAATAAGCAAAAAACGGAAGCTTGCACGTTCGCTCATAACGTATCGCGCACAATCGATACGTCGCGAAACTACAAAAATATATTCTACTCAGGTATAATATATACGGTATAATTACAGTAGTAAATATAATGTACACACGGTAATAAGTCAGGTATAATATAATGTGTCACTCTCTAAATTTCTCGGAGTGAAATTTTACTTGAAGAATAGGTGCGATCGCCACCTAGTCACTCGAATTCGGGCGAGTCCTCGAATTCGTGCAAGGTGAATTCTTCGCTGTGATGCTTTGGAAACAATATTCCGGGAATGACACTTTTGATTCCTCCGTAGTAGTCCGCGTAGTAAACTCGTTATAACGCGCTTTCAAGTTCATCTCTTGAATCTTCAGTCTTAGAGTCCTCTACTTTTACCCCCTGCGTGTGCTTGGTGCGCATACGTACAGAGATAGCGTATACAGTTTTGTTAAACATTCAAGGTACACTAATACACATTATGAGTTTCGAGACATAAATTTCTCTTCGAAATTATACGTCATCTTTCATTTTACACAGTAATACGTTTTATGTTCTTTTACGTGTAAACGCGAATGAGATTCTTCGTCTTGTGATTTATTTGTTAGATACCATATAGTGTGTTTGCAACATCGAGACAATAGAAATTGCTGACTAAACTACTCTAACTAGTGGAAAAGGGGGGAAAAACCAAAAGAGAGAAAGAAAAGAAAAAGAAAAGGAATTGTCGATATTGTCATCGCATATGGCAACATCGAGCAGAAATGATTTAGCCACGTGCGTTTGATAACTTGTGTCGTCGGTAGTCGTCGAGTACGCGAATGTGAGTCCTATTGAAATAAAAATTTACGGCGAAATGCTTAAATATAAAACGCAAAAAAAAAGACGACGGCGATAGGCCCAATTGCACAGTTGGCTTTTTCTTTTTGCAAAAATGCATCGATTACAACATCCGCTCAGGATTTCATTTGGCTCCACAGTCAGAGAATCGTAAAGCGTGTGTTAAAAGGAATGAGAAGAAAAGAAATGAAATCTTTATACGCTGTGTATCTATGTATATGTATTATTATGAGCGCAAAGATTCCTTTTAGCTTTGATTAATATCTCTCTCCTTTTCTTTTTCTACCTACGATAGCGATCCGTCGTCGAGATAATATACTACAGACGCTGAAACATAATAATTGCAACTTCATTAATAGCCATACTGGTTAATGCGTAAGCACACTTATCATTTTCGTAATCTGCGAGTTTGCGTCATTTGCTCCCCGAAATGTCACTCCACATGACATGTGCTTTCGTTTCCCGGCAAGCCGTCAACAATAAGCAATCCGCACCTGTTACAGCCTGCACTGCGTGTAAAATCGATGCAATCGGGCCTTTCTCTCTCCCTCACCTTCCGTATCTGTGTCCCTCAGTCGAAATTATATACAACAGCATGGCCATGCAAGAGTAGAGAGCAAAGCTACCATGCCTCAACAGAATCCACGAAAGAAAAAAAAGAAAAAAAAACGCTTGTAGAACAGCCACTTTCGAAGGTGGGTAACAGATATCTAGACACTGCCGGGGCAGCGAGGCAGGTGAGGTCAACTGTCAACTGACAGCTTCACCTCCGTCTTACTTGAAACCAAACCCCATCAAAATCATCATCATCCTTACTTCGGCACCTCACCAGGCCTGTCTCGACGATACGTCTACACAAGCTAAAAGAACCAAGTTCATTTGTCAATGCTTTCCTTTCAAAGTAAGAAGAATCTATTACTTTATAAAGGATAGACTGTAATTTCTCGGATGGATATACACTATGTGTGACATTGTGTGATCCTCGCGCTCGACGAGGCAGGCAGAGATGGTCCGCCTCGTCGTTGGAGGGAGGGGACACAAATGTGAAACTGTGCTGCACTCAACAACACTATTTTCACTATTGATCCACTTGGATCGTCAATGTTAATAAAGACCTGTGCGATAGTCTGTCTGTGTTTTACTTTTTTTTTTCTTTTTGGTTCTTACTAACGGACAATGGAATGTGAGATATATTGGGAATAATTGTGCGATTGTACCGTAAGAGGGTCTCATATATCATGCCGGGGAAAATGTGATCGGGGACAGAATATCAATGATTGAAAGAATTCAAGCGAGTTGCTCGAGAGTGATACAGGAGATAAAAATACGTAGTAATCGATACAAACAATCGGAACGTTGTTATACGTGGAACTCGGGTTTCATTAATATTCACCTTCTCCGGGTGCGAGAACTTGGACGTTGTGGTTAACGGCCGAGGAGCATTCCGGCGTGATATGTACAAAATTGGTCATTTCCGATTGAGCTTGAAAGCGGATGGATGACGCACGACACCGCGCAATAATATCACACATCGAATTACGTTAATAATAATAATTACGTTAATATTAATAATTAATATTATACGTGCGTCTCTTTCTTTTTTTTGGAATATGAGCGAATCTCTCTCTCTCTCTCTCTCTCTCTCTCTCTCTCTTTCTCTCTCTCTCTCTCTCTCTCTCTCTCTCTCTCTCTCTCTCTCTCTCTCCCTCCCTCCCTCCCTCCCTCCCTCTCTCTCTCTTTCTCTCTCTCTCGAAATGTTTTCCTACGACCGAATGTACCGTAAAAAAACGAAAGAGCTTCCATCGTTTTCCAGCAGAAATCTGCAATAGTACTTGAACGATGAATACTTTACGAACTTGCGCTCTTGGCCCTCGAGCACCAAATATATCAATATTTTTGTACTCGGTAACTGTATAAAAAACGTTCATACAGAGTCTCGTAGTCAGATGAAAAATGCACAAATACTCATGACACGAACTGTCCGTCTAATTTGTCCATTGTCGCATTGCTAAGGACAGAAGGATTCTACACGCGCGTTGAGAAAAAGGTCGGACAATCACGAATCACGACAATCAACGAACACTCGACGACGTCGACCACGACGTCCGTGTATCACACCTCGGTCCCGGTGAATGCGAGAAAAGAAGCGAATGCCATTCGATATACTGGGCGGTTTTAACATCGAGATAAAGCGCAGCTTGACGGCTGTTAGCAGTTCGGCACGGGCTGACCGCGCGACAAATTTGGCACATGCAACCGACAGGATCCCAGGTGTTTGGTGGAAACACCTTCTCGTTCTTGCGCGCTTTCCGCTCGATGCGATTCTCTGTTAAGATCGGGGACACGTCAACATGCCAGTGGTAGCGAATAATCGAAGGGCTCGCTATCGGAAGAGATCCGTCGCGCGACCACAATCCGCCGGCCCCGGTCCGCCGGCCCGTCGCTTCGCCGATCGAATTGCAACATAACGTTCCCCGCTCAGCCGATCGTCAGCCCTTCGATATTCGTTACACACGCCATAGCTACGAGATTTATACGCAGTCAGAATACACGATGCGGTACGATGCTACCGGAGTGCGTCGCCATTGCGTTGGAAACACGTATGTACATGTATGTATATATATATGCATATATATATATATATGTATGTATATAGTACAGAGGTACTTTTTAATATCTACGTATGTATGGTTATGGTTATGGTATGTATATATGTATGTATGTATGTATATATGTATATATACACGTACAAACACAGTCGAGGTATTCGCGAAGTCCTTAAAGGAAAAAGAACTGCGTTCTTTTCATGGCAGAAAGCTTAGCACATTCTGCTCTCGAGGTTACTCCTTGCCAGAAGGTTCTACGCATCGATAAACTGCAAAGTGTCAAAGAGATCACATTTTACCGTCAATGAACAGAACTGGCAGCCCTACTAAACGGCCGAAGCAGCGGTCGTTCAGCGAAAATCGTAAGTTACTCTCACGCGCTCACACTACCGGATTTAGTAACTGACTTTAACACCGAGCCTACCATGTTGCGGACGCCAGTGGAAGAAGATTAGGTACAGCGCCAGAATAATGATTAGAGACTCGATTAAAGGCAGAGTAGCAGCCACGCTGATCACTATCGCCTTGTTCTCCTGTATGGCGGTTATTATGGCCTCGAAGCAACCCTGCAAATATAAACGAACAGTTTATACAGAGCGTCAAGTTGACATTGTCACAGGCTAATCCCCGTGAAACCATACATTTCAGTACAAAGAAACTTTACTTCTTGTTCTTCGAAGTATAATCCCGGTGGACAATGAGCATTGGATCAACATCTTGAAAGTTTGATTTCATACCTATCTCACTTAATACTTTTAAGATATTTCCTTATTTAAGATATTGTCGAATAATATATTTTTCTCGAATATTGCAAAATGTTGTTTTGAGATATTTGAATTTCAATATTATGAAAATTCTTCCAGGTTCTGAATTTCGATTCTTTCATTTCTCGGGACAAAACATGTCCATCCTATGTGTACTTTTCTCGCATACATCGCTTCTCTTGATTGTACAACGCATTTTTTCTCTTATGTCTCACTTTATTCTTTTTTTAGCGTATTTGATGTATTCTAGTCGTATCGACGTATATATTCCAATCTCACGCACTCTCAATTGCGAGATATCTCGTGAGATATCAACTTTTAACTTCACGACTCTACCTTGACGCTTTTCACCACGGAATGAGGAAGATGCTATCACGCATAACGTGAGACTATCTGCTTGGGTATATCTTTACGGGTGCCTCGACACGCGCGCGAGGGTTAGGAGCACGCAATGCCAATGTCGAGTCAACATAGAAAATTGTCAAAGAGAAAGTATGCTGTACGTGAATAGCACACGTCCGCGCGATTTCCACTCGTACATAGTGGCAATTATGCTAACGTGTTAGGTGGTGCGTGGCACTAGTTAATGATGAGCTCGGGGGGACACGTTGAATCGCTCGGAATACACAATATGACGAGAGTCTCGACTCAACTCGAATGTTACTCGAAGTCAGAAGTTGTTGAAAATTCTCAAGATCCGGATTACTTCGAGCGCTCGAAAGTCCGGAGAGAGTCGACCACTGTCACTATATGATTCATCTACGTATACGAATCATATACATCTACACGTTCCTCGCATGAGCATACAGAGTTCACTGTACGTTTCATCGTCAGAGCACGTAGACATTTCAGATTTTCCAAGCTTTCGAGGCGTTCGAAGCCCCACTCGAAATTTCTCAAGACTTTCAGCAACTCACGTATCCGAAGCACTCAAGTATCCGAAGTGATTCGGACGCGTCGTCCGAATAGTTTGCACATTTTATAGACGGCTGTTCGAACGTCTGTCAAACGTAACAATAAAGCACGGCACCAACTTACCGTTTCGTAATACGAGTTTGAGGCAGTGGGACTGATTGGACAGGAAGGGTCCTTCAGAACGTCGTTCTCTTTTATGCAACAGGCCTCGGGAACCATTTTTCCGGTCGCGGTGAAGTTCGTATTTTCGCCGAAGTCTCGATAATTGTCCACGCCGCAACAATGGAACTGAAAATATTCGTGTCAGCATCTTGCATGCTCCTGAATACTCTATGACTTATAAAATATATTTTTCTTTCATTTTCTTCCCTCCTCCTCCCATGGCTCCGCAATCGAAAATATTACAAGCGGTCGGAGGAACAAGTTGACGAAATTAATTTATTAGACGACGCATTAGCTCAAACATTGAATATATGCATTTTACTCGTCAAGCCGAAGGCGTCTCACTCGACAATTTATTCGATGACAAATTGACTTGAAAATGTCTATCGACAAAAAACTGTGTGTGATTTGAATAACACCGAACTCTCTGTACGATACGCGACGGTGAACACGATAGAGCGATACCAGCAACTTTCACCAGAGCGCTGTGCAGTTAGCGATTCCACCTGGGCGATTAACCGCGCTTACACACGCAAGGCGGATGAAAAGCGGAAGATTCCGTGTGGAATTAATTCACGCATTAGTTCGCGTTAATCGCGCTCATGGATAGCATTAACGCGCCGATTAAAGCGACAATTAACGACCTTACCTGGTTCATGATACCGTCCCATGCGACTGTCACGGTTTCGGCTTTATCGGCGCTGGTCGCGTAGTACTTTATGGTTGACTTCCAGAATTTCTGCGTATTTCTCTCGGTCTGTGTGTGCGTAAGAATTTCGTATTACAATTTATCTCAAAGCTATGCCGGAGAGGATTGTCGCTTACTCCCCAACGGGCGCATTCGCACTGCGATTAACACAATCATTGGTGACATATGATTAGAACAAATTCGCAGATATAACAATCGCTGAAGAATACGCACATCTTTGTATCCACAAGCCAGTCCAATTGCGATACACTCCAGGAGTAAAACCAGTGCGATTAGAATGACATACTGCAAGCACAGAAAAGCGTCCCTGTATTTTTCGTCCGTGAAACGCATCCGCTTTATCGTTATGCCGTGAATGAAGAAGAGAAAAGAGAGGAAATTTAATCGAAATAAAATCAATCGATCAAAAATAACGAATCGAGCATTGGCTTCTTTAACAGCCCCCAGAACGATGGAACAAATGTTAATCGAATAATGAATAACGAATAGAAGCATTCGGTCGTATCCGTGATTGACGAATACATCCTTCCGCTCGAATAAAAATTTATTCGATTGAACAATTATGTAAATCATTAAACGAAATTTATATCGAGGCTCTCGGATATTTAATCACGAGCAATTACTTAAAAACGAGACTATATGTTGAGGCTCTCATGACCTTCAATCGACTGCAGATTGATGTATGTTTAACTCAATTGATTTCACCCGAATTAATTTGCGAAGTAGAATTTACTTTTCGCCAAGAAGAGTCGCGCGAGGATGTTAATAGCGAGTGATTTCTTGCGGGAAGACAAAAATACCGACGATCGTTTAAGTAACTTTTCATCCAATCAACTATCGGTTTCGTCGAGCAAAATTTTGTTGAGCCTCGTCAAGTACTGGCATCTGCATCTGTGCTGCGACTGAAACGACGATAACGTTCTATCAGGATGCGTATACCGATCGGTTTCGGTCGTTCCATTCGTCTGTTTGATAGCGCAATCGGGGAAATTCTTCTCATCCTTTATTCGATGAGCGATGTAAATGATGACAAACGATACGATAAGTTTTATTAGAACGGACTTACGACACAGAGAAGACATCTAGACTCGAACATGGCACCGCAATAACCGAGGAAGCTGATGATGAACGTGAGGGCGCCGGCTATGATAAGAATGTAGGCAATCACTTTGATGACATCGGCATCCGTTTTATTCTGCAAAATAAGAAAAAGCACAATGAGAATGCAAATTATCCCGCCGAGCAAGTATTCATCGACGAACGCTCGTGTAACGTGAAATTACGCAATCCTTTGTGAATTCTAGAATTTCCCATCCGAGTCACGTGTTCATCGCTACACTCGCTTAATAATGAACAGTTATTTGCATATCCGCAAATCTATCACAAGTTCACTCGTAAGCAATTCACTCAAATCGCTCAAAATACATTCTGAATCCTAATAAGTTTACTACTTTGATCAAGAATATTACGTTAAAATAAAAGTCCACTTTGCTTTTTCCCTGTATAGAGTATAAGTTTTGTGATATTCGAGAGAGAGAGAGAGAGAGAGAGAGAGAGAGAGAGAGAAGAAATTCTTTTGAATACTTCATAATGAGCTTCGCTCAAATTTGTGATGAATATATACTTATATATATTTCAGATCATATATCAAAAATATATTTTAAGATTATTATCAAGAAAATATTCTTTGTTGAAGATAAACATTATTTAAGGAAAGAAAGTAAACTAGATAATCGCTTTCCTTGGTAGCAGAATGATATTTTCCTCTGTGTATAAACGAGGTGTATGATCGATTAATTCAAGGCCAAAAGCGTATTGTATTGTTCTGAAACGTGTGGTAAACAATCGGTCGATCAGATCAGAGAAAATCAAGATAAACAGCGACTGAAAGAGAACTCCGAGTGTCACAAAAATATTCGGGGGAAAAAATATAGAAAGATTTGAAAAGCGGAATAATTTCCTGAAAAGTCATAATACTGAAGTTCAAATATATACGAAATTCGAGACAACTTCTCGAAATATTGCAATTGTTTCGTTGCGTACGGCCGGATACATTAGTATTCATTTATTTGAATTTAGCAAAATTGTATTTACAGTTATTTTGCACAACATGTTTCGGGAAATTGTTTTAGTTCCCCAATATCGAGTTTTCCATTTTTCGAGACGATGCACGTTGACCTTCTAGGATATTTTCGTTTGGAAAGAATGAAAGAGAAGAACGTTGCGCTCAGTTGTGCATGTGAAAATTCTGAGGAAAATTCAATCGAACTACCGGCAATCAATCGATAACGCTGCGAATTCGACTCGATCTTCTTAGACTGTTTTTGTCTTGCTCATGTTACGTAATATATATTAGTCGTTGTAGTCAATAAGCTGCGAATAAACATCAAGTTTGAGCTCCTGTCGATTTATCCGCGAGATATCTATGCGAGTATTGTACGTCGTTACAAAACATACTTATGATACATCACGGAATATGACATAATGACTCGCGAACAGCACTTGGAATACTTATAAGCTCGCTACATGTGAACTGTCGTCTCCGTCGTGTGTACACGATGGGGGTATCGAGTTTCACGAAGACAGATCGGAGCAACACAGACGTTCCTTTATGCGGGCGTCATGAAAGACGCGGCATATCCGCCAATATTCGCCTCCTTTTAATCGCGGCTTCCCCAGAACTCTCGTTGTCTCTTACGTGATTCGTGCCGTTTCCACCGTAGTCCGCCAAGTGGAATGAAAATTTGTCCCCTCAATTGGAATATTGCCCGAGTAAATTGTGCTTATTTTTTAACACGTTCGCTAACAGCGTCATACGTGTAACGCAGCGCGAGGGACCGGCGCAACGATAAAAGATTATATCCATTGTCGTTACCTCCAAAAAAGCGCAATAACTTGGCCATTGTTGGCGAAAAAAAAAAATAATGTCGTTACAATGCCGTTACTTGAAGACAGTAACTTGTTACGATTGCAAGTAACGCGTTGTATTTTCCAACTCTCTGCATATGCGTAACAACAAATATTTTTTTCTATGCCTACGTTATCCAGTTTGTTTTGCATAATTGTAAAAAATATAATTATAAAAAAATGAGGTGGTCTCTGTGAGGAGACTTTTAAATAAACTCTATTAGTTAATACGTTGACTATCATTGGGGTCACCAGTGAGACCGGCGCAATAATAGCACCCGCGTCTCATTGATTTATATATGAAATATTTACGAGCGCATATAATAAATTAAATACACAACTAATAGGTATTCAGTGAAACGAGGCGGCTAGTGTATCTATCGGGAATTACGTTTGTTTACAATGGAAATGTATTTGTTTGGTGATCCAAATTTCGGTAGAGCATTGAAACAATTTAGAAACTGGCGCAGAACAATGTGGCGACTGACGTGTTGATTTACCCGAGGGTCCTGACTGTAACATGTCGCATTAAAATGTTTCTTGAAAACATCAAAGCAAACGGAAAACATCGAATTACACGTCCAACGTTATTGGACAAAACGAACTGACCCGTCCACGCTCATTCCCAAGTGCACGTGAACTGAGAATGTTTCCGATCCAAACGCGCTTCTCGGTGATTCTCCAATTATGTGAGAATAATATAGCAGAAACTGCGCTTTCGTAACGGCTCAGACACGAAGGGTTGTAAACGACCATGCCTCGTTTTCTCACGAAGTTGCTGGAGATGAGTAAAGCAAGCGAGCGAGTGAGCGGCTGTGTGTGAATGTGTATATATGTGTGTGTGTGTGTGTGTGTGTGTGTTTGTGTGGCATTAGAGCTTACATGTCAAACAAGACAGTCGTATTACATGACGCATCGTTTCGCGAGAAGAAGTGCTATAATCCCAGCCTAACACACAGTTGGCCAGGCATACGCGCGATCAGGTCGATTTCCATTGTACCTGCCGCACGCGGATTACTTAGCGGCCGCGTTGACATTCTTATCTCGAACACCTGTTGAACGGACATAAGAAGTATTTTTAGTTCGATACCGTTTGATATAGGCGCGCCGCCGCCACCGTGTTGCGCGTCTTACCGGACGTCGGTGCTGACGAGACGGCGAAGCATGCCGCGAAAAATCAGGTCACCGGGTGAAAGGACTAATAAGGGTATCTCGTGTTCGGTTTCACCAACTTGTTCCGCCAGATTGATCGGAGCTGTTCAAGCTCGGCGAATGAGTGAATGAATGGAGCAGGCCGCGTTGTGCGGATGAAATCTTTCGCCGCGCGCGCGCGCGCGCGGATGGCAAATATTTTGCTCTCCTACGCCCACATTAGAAACCGATATCTGCTTTGCAGGATTATACGTGAAAGAAACACGAGGTGATCTGCGGGCGGAGTTCCCTGCGCACACAAACGCGAACACGCTGATACACCGACTGCCATTGAGGTCACCAGCGGTGATCAGAGCTATCTCTCTCATCGACGCGTCTCATTGATTTGACATACAAAACGCAAGCGAAAGTTTCCCATCGCTCTTTCTTTCAAGAACGGAAAGAAAGTGTTGTTTGATGTGCAAGGAACAATTCGCCGTACGAAGTGACCGCGTGCAAGAATCTCACGACAGCCGCTCACGAACGTGTCGGGTTTGTCGCTTTGATAAATCCGCTCGCTCGACTCCAATCTCGGCGGCTTTCACATTATCGCGACTCCTCGCGAGCGCGTCGCCAAAGTGCCGGGATTCATCGTATCAATTTCGTTAAATCGTTAAGCACCGACGAGACCATCGCGCTGTCGCGAATGCGCCGAAGCGTAATCGACACGGAACGACGGCTGAACGCTGCAACGGGTGCGTTATGATCGCACTCATAACTCGGGGAAACGATCGAGCCCTCGATATTTTCGTGCGCGAATTTCCGAATCCGATCACATAACTCCCGGAATACGCTATTAAAATATCCTACGATAATTCCGGAATAATCTATGTACAGGATGTCCCAAAGCTTGCGACCTGCATTCACGTTTCTCTGAGCAACTTCTAAGGTAATTGATCTTCTACGAAAGCGCTACGAGGCATCGACAGTTCCCGAAATATAAACAATCGGTAAAGCAAGTGAAAGTTCGGCGACTTTGAGGGACAAACTTTGAGGGAGCAGATGGATAAACAGAATTATTTTCTTCAATTAATTTTAAGTGAACCTTAATAGAATTTTAATCCAGGGCTTAGCTACGAAAATGTCATGCTAAAAATTAAAAGGACGCCGTAGGCGTAGGTATTAAATAATGCTAAGATGAACATTTCTACCAAGGAAAAGCTGTCCTCAAATTGCTCGGAGAGCATCGCTCGATAAAGTTAAGGCCGTGGATTCTGGGACACCTTGTAGCTTTCCCGTAGCTCAAAAGGAAAAGAGTCGATATCTGTCTCTCCGGACCCTCTCGTGTATGTCGCACAGAGAGAATTTTACAGTAACCACTGTAGAATTTTGTAATCGAAGAACGTGCAGCGATATATATTCCGTTTTAGCTTATTATCCGTCCCTTTCATATTCGCCATTTATATTTCAGGAAGCAAAGTCCACTATTACAAAATTTACTATATTCCTTAGAGAAATAAATTTCACTGACAGTCTACTACTCACGCATTACTGAAATAACATGACCAAAGGAAAAATTCACGTGAAAAAGAGAAAGAAATGTAATATCCTTGGAATTTTTCAAAACTCCTAAAAAAAAAGAAAAAAACGTATGTTCACGATGTCGAACGGCAAAGGACGAAAAATATTGGAAATATTAGCAGTTATGAAGTGAGGATATCGGCATTTCATAACTGTACATTTCGTACGGTTGATATTTGCTACATTTTCGCTCTTATCGAGTTCCTTCGCAAGGAAAGCTGATCCGTAATTTTCGAGAATCGCAGCGAACTTTAGCAGCGCGTCTATCCTGTTGATTGCAATCACCGGCGACAAAGGGCTGTCATCTCCCAGAGCGAGGAAACGGCGGTCCGAGCAATTAGAGGCTCGAAGCGAGGGTAACGCGAGACCTCGCGAAAAGTCCGCCGAACGGGTCGCAGCAGCGCAGCGTGCGCGCGCGGCGTGCTTGCTCGTCATCGAGCACGAGCTGCTGTTGCTGCTGCTGCTGCTGCTGCTGCCCCGAAATGACCTAATTTGACGCAACTACAGCACCGCGGACGACGAGGAGAGCGCGTACGTTGCACATACGTCAGCGAGCGTTAATGCGTTTTCTGGAGC